GGGGGGGCAAGGGTGGCTTGTTGTACACTTTGTGGAGAGCCCCAGCTTTTCGAATTCGCGCGTGATAGGTGCATGTCATCCTTTTTTTCGCCATAATTGCGGTTATGAATGTTTCTCGACAGTGTATTATTATTTTGCATATGTTATTTCTCAGCGTCTGTAAGAAGCGATAGATTGTGCACGTTATATGCCCTGACTTCTGGAGTGCATGGTATCATTTCGCGCATGTAACTTCGAGTAGAGTTGCCTTTTTCTTCGTTTCGGTTTTGTTTTTGAAGGAATAGAGATTTTCAGTTGGAGGAAGAATTCATTGCACAGACGAGTGCCACTACTGAATTGACACTGCGACGTAAGAATACTGTTGAAGATTATCACAAGCGCCTTACGAGTTTGTTCAGTCGTCTGCAGGTAAACTTTTTGGGGGAGATTTGCTTGTAAAGGTGTCATTATGTTGAAACATTTTCGTTCTTGAACTGCTATAAAAATTTGCTTGAATAGCCCTGAAATATGGATACTGAGGTCAGAATTTGCACACTGTTACAGCACTAGGATCGCTCAATTTGCCGGATATAGCTGTCGATGTTATTGAATTACAGCTTGCTTTCAGCTATAACTCGCGAATCCCATTATTTCATACTGTAATAATTCATTGAAAGCATAAATTCCAGGTCAAAAAAGGCGAAGAGTTCATGAAAAATCCAGAAGATGTTGTTTTTTTGCCGACTGAACTTTTTAGCAGTATTTTGATGCAAGAGTTCAGTACAATGGTGGAAAGCAATGAAGAGGTATGAATTTCTTTTAAAATTTGTATAGTTACAGTTGGTGCATTAAAAATTCCTTATTTTTGTCAAAACAAGTAAAATTCAGAGCTCCCTCCACATTGCTCATTATGAGAAACGGGGACGCTCAGAAATTCTCCGACTGGTAGCAAATGCCATCAGCAATCACCCTTTGGCAAGCTTCAAAGGCACTCTTTCTTCTAAATTTCGCTTCCCATAGCGCACCAGTACATTATAAGCGAAGCGAATAAACGGATGGTAGAGAGAATCTTGTACTAGTTCAGCGTTGTTTGCTGCTGCGCCTATTCGCCAAATTTATTTTTGTATTTCGTCCTAATTTAAAATATTAACATCTATTTCAGCTTTTCAAAAATATCCCTCATGGCAGTCGTGGCACGGCTGATACGAAATGTTCAAATTTGGCAAAGTCTAGCATGGTACTTTTTATGCGTTTTTTGCAGCAATGCAATGCGAAAACACATATTGACGAGAGGTTGTCTGTGTGTGTGTTTGTTTGTGTGTGTGTGTGTCTGTGTGTGCGCTGGGACTGTACCGATTTTTCATCTCGAGACCGGCAAAAGCTACGGGGCTGAAACTTTGAGGGTATAATCTACAATTTTTCATCTCGAGACCGGCAAAAGCTACGGGGCTGAAACTTGGGGGGTATAATCTACATGCACGTATGAGCCCCCATCCCCATCTCGAGACCGGCAAAAGCTACGGGGCTGAAACTTTGGGGACATAATCTACATGCACGTACGGACTCCCATCCACAAAATTGGCGCCAAAACCCACGTGGTACGCGCGTACGGGCCCGCCAAAGTTTTTTTGCGGTCGGTTCATAACTCGAGGAGCTGAGAAGCTAGAAGGCTGAAATCTTGGGGTAATGTTCCCCGCCCAAGCGGGAATTAGTGGGCTCAAACCCAGACCCCGGGTAAGCATGGTACCCACGTACGAGCCCGCCAAAATTTTTCGGGTAAGTTCATAACTCGGGATCTGAGAAGCTAGAAAGCTGAAAATTTGGGATAATGTTCCCCGCCCAAGCGGCTATTAGTGGGCTCAAATCCAGCCCCCGGTTAAGCGTGGTACTCGCGTGCGGGCCCCCCAAAATTTTTCCCGCGCAAATTCATAACTCGGGGTTCTCAGATGCTGGAAAGCTGAAACTTTAGGGGAATGTTCCCCGTCCAAGCAGGTGCTAATGAGCTTAAATCCAGCCTCCGGGAAAGCGTGATACCCGCGTACAGGCCCCCCAAATTTTTCCCGCA